TTTGGAAGCAGATTCGATAGCAATTCAGGATGTCAGGGTGTGATTTTAGTTTTCAGGTTTGAAAACACCTGAGGCTCTTACACAAAGGAGTTATTTTGAATCCTACATTGCATTAAAAACGTAACTTTAAACCAGTTTTATAAACAATGCTAGAACTGGTTTTAAGATGAGTGTTTTCCGGGCATCTGTGTTGTATTTAATTTCATTTTAATGACTCTCCCACTGATTTTCCCTGGTCTGTGTAAACATTTAGTTATAAATAGACAAACAGGAAAGGTGTGAAAAATATTACAAGAAACATAGGTGCTAAAATATTCTACTTGTGCCGAATGAGTATTTTGAAGTGTGAATTTCAGTATTGCAAAGAAATACTAAACTTACAAAATTACTAGGGGTTTGGATTCATCATTGTTAACACTGCTGTTTGTAATGTAGTATAAATAGGAAGCCCAAATAATGTCTGGGAAAGGGGGCTTTCTGGAGCCAAGCAGTACAATAGTGACAACAGCCTAAACTGTACCAGTTGAATCATGCCCCAAAGTCACTAATAAAATATAGATCAAATATGCTGATGAAGATCACAGCTGGCAGCAAAATCTGTGCACTAAGGCAAGAAGGACATGTGATTTGCTTAAGCTTGTACTAGGAGATCTGGTAGTCAATAAATACCACAAAGTGTTTTCATTTGAATAACTTACTTGCTGTTCTCCTCTGCCAGTTTTCAGATTTGTTAGTGTCTTAGTACAATTGCACTTTTCTGCAATTGGATCAAAATCTGAGAGAGAGCAAGCAGTGGGGTGTTACATGGACTTTACTCTAATAACTAAGAAATAGAGTTTCAATCTTGATTCCAGTGAACTGAATGGGGATTTTGCTTTTCCATGCAGTGGATGTGGGATTGTGCCTGCACAGTGTTAATCTGCTACAAGTTCTATGAGCTCACTTTCCTTTTTTGATACTAAAAATGAAAGCTTGAGTATCTTGTCATTCTGGTCTAGTTCTTGTTGGACACCCATTAAAGTCCAGATCAAAACCCAGTACTCAGTACATTGTAAAGTCAGATCACACATGATCCAAAATACAACAGAGAATACTTAGAATTTAAAAAACCATAGAGTCATGGGTTTTGTAGATACTTCTTAATGATACAACCTAAATACATTTAAAACTTCATAATATTTTTTGTTTGGGTTCTTTGGATTGTTTTGTTTCTTAGGAGGAACTAGCTTTTGCTGTGAATCTTGGCTCCCAGGCTTACACATTTATCATTTTAATAACTTCTTTGAAATTCCTGATGACCAGTGTCCCTAAGACTACAGCCAGTTAATTGCTACCAGGTGCTCAGCAAGCATTCATCACTTTTGTCATAGCCTTGTTTTTAGTGCATTTGAAGGTTCTCAAGTTATTTTCCAATTAAATGCTCATGAATTACTTGAAGCTAGTTCAGCAGCCAGTGTGATATTTTGCAGCTGGGCAATATTAGTATTAGAATGATAATTCTGGAGTAACTGAAATTCTGCAGTAGAGCAGAGAGCATTTTGCCAGCTGATGCAGTTTATCAGGGCAGCAATATGAAGTGTGATAGACTGTGTGAATATGGCTTTTTTTAACCTGATGGTGTGAAAAATGTCCATGACCTCCAGGCTTGACAATCACTGCTGTGTGCCAGACATACTCACGTGTCTTGTTTGAGTGGACAAGACACCACTCACATGAAAGGCTTCAAGGGCTGAAGCTAATAGGAACTTTTTCAGACAAGCAAGCCCGGCTTGGTTATCTTACGTAGATGGATAATGTTGTCTGATAAGAGGGAATTTACACTTCTTTATACTTATAATCTTATTTAATTGGGTTTTACATAGCGATTAGTCATCCCAGTGCTTTGTATTAGGGTTAATCCAATTTCGTGTGAGTTCCTGACACATTTGGTATGGTAAATTCAGCATACAACATACCTGATGTATCAGGGCTAGTTATTTAGGAATTGATAAGGAAAAATACTAGTCATCAGAAGACATGCCACGTGTGCAACTGAATTTGAAGTTTTAGGGCAGAGTGCCTGAAGAACATGATCAATTTAATAGTCAGTTTCAGTTTCAGTTTCAGTTCTGGCCAATGTTTGGTGATAGTTTTGCAGGCAGTGGAGAAGAAGGCTGTAGTGCTAGCTAATCTAATATCTCTTACACATGTACTTAACATTTTTAGATAAAAAAGAAAATACATATTTTCATATGTTCTTTGCCCATTTCTTCTTGCGGTGCTTTGTTCTATGAAACATGTTCCAGCTGAGGGCAAAAGGGCCTTGCTGCCAGAGATCACCTGTAAATTCCTGAGCTTTCCTTTAGATTGGAAAGGCTGCTGATTTGGCAGCAAGATGGCTATTGAAGGCCACCTGTTCCTGGCACAGGCACAGACCATACGTTTCTGTGACACCTCAGGGGTAAAAGTCTCAAATGCCCCCTAAGCATCAACATCAGCTTGCTCAGAAATCAAGAGGTGATCCTTCCTGTATGCCGTGGATAGACTGTCTGTGCCATAGCCATCTGACTTCAGCAAGACAAAGGAAAGACTGCAAGCCTTGCCATGATGGCTTTCCCTCTCCTATCTCCTAGATGGAGTTACTTCACTTGCATGCCTCCACCTGCCTCTCAAGTGTGCCTGCCCTGTGACTGATCATAGTTGTCACACTCTGGCACTTAGTGGTGTTTCCTGGGTCACTCTCTCCACTGCCTTCCTCACGAAGGCATGAATATTGCATTAGCTGTGCACATTCATCTATATTTGAGTATCTTCGTGCTGACAGTAGAAACTTGACATTTCTTCATGAGCAGCATGAGAGCACATTGCTGTGGTTTTGTGTGGGTTGTAGAGGAGTCAAACTGCATTGTCAGGAGCTCCCAACCTGGTCCCATGGGCTGCGTGGAGGTGGGTTATAACTGTTCTGCTCAGGATATCTCCCCACAGAGGCATTCACAAGGAGTTAGCCTAATATATTTGTTGTATGCCTTCCTTGAGGCTAAATGTTGGCAGTCAGTTAGCATTTCTCTGTGTGATTTAGTTGGTATGACCATGGTATTAGCCTTATCCCAGATAAGAAGCAAAGTAATGATTCTTATTTTTATTTATTTATTCAACAATTATGAAAACAAAAATAACCCTTCCTCTTCCCAGAATAACACAAAAACCTTTCAGGCCCACTGAGGGAATGACATTAATTACACAATTTTACACCAATCTCCTCTCATCCCAAAGTTTTAGTGTGTTTAGTCATTACAACATGGTGATTTCTGAACTGGAGTAATGAGCTGTGAGCTTTTATTTATGTGTATAGGGAGGACCTGAAAGAAAAACTAAGTATAATTAAATATATCTCTAGGTACAATTCAATATAACTAAAGTTAGTATAATTAATTTACATTAATTCATTTTTGTTGTGCTTTATTTTTGTAGCTATTATCATGAAAAATGCCCCCACATTTTTTTCCAGACTGAAGGCACAATCTGTCATGTAGCAACACTAGAAAAGGAAAGCTGCATCAAATAATGGAATCCATGTTCCTTATAATTAAACAACCTAAGAAAGAGTTTTGCGTGAGCAGAAAAACAAGGTTTGGTTCATTTTCAGTCATGTCTTTTGTTACAACTCTGTCAAAATGAAGATTATTTCTCCCTGTCTCTGAAGGCTGCTCGCTGTTGATTTGAGACCTTCAGGTGGCTTGGAGACCTCAGCCCAGCCCTGGCACCCAGAGGGCAGTGGGAGAAAGTGGGACCCACTCTGAGAGTGCACAGCCTCCTTCAGGCCACTGGGATTTAACAGCTACAACTGAGGAGAAAGATAGTCTCACTATTTGTAAATAAAGATACCAGATTTCATTTAAACAGTGTTATCTGCGTTGAACTTTTTTGAATGTAGGACCTTTCTAAGGTTCTTTTAGCTCAGATCACAGTCACTGTTATAGAGCCTAGCTGTCTTTTTGTGCTGTGTTATGTTTTCTCTGGAGACTTTCTCCTGCTTTATTGCCCTGGTTGCTGAAGGGACCAAGCAGCCTGCCTGTTGCTCTGGAGCGAAGCTGCTCGTCAGACCCGGTGTCTGGTGGCAAAGTGACAAGCTGTAATACAGATTCTGCATTACTGCTGCCTGGTTTGCCTTCTGGGTTCGAGGAGACAGATTGGAAGAAAGAGGCTGCTGCCCTCCTGAACCTCAAGTGTTTGTTCATTGCGTGTGGAATCTGGGCTTTGCTGGAGCTGCAGCATTGCAATGGGTTTCAGGCAAGCCAGGTTCAGTGTGATCAAACTTCCTGACTGCTAGAGCTGCATGGGCAGGACAACAAGCAAGGCAGGCTCTAAGCCATCCCATGTTTCTCCTTCGTTTACATTACGTTGTTTATATTTGTATTTATCTGCTATTAAGGATGCCACAATGGAAATTATGTTGGGATTGCTCCTGCAGTACAAGCTGGTGGGTAACACAGATCCCCCTGCCCAGGGAGTCCATCAGGGAGTGGATTCACCCAGCTGCAGTACTAAGGAAGCAGCTGTGGTGTGGAGAGGGCTGAAGGGGGTTCCTGTGACTCACAAGTGGAGCATGGTCTTAAGGGAGAGCCTGGCTTCTTGGACTTTGACTTTGCAGGTCTTTTGGTGATGTATGTGAATATACTGGGCTTGATTTTCTAGATCAGGAAAACAGAACACACTTACACCAGCTGAAGACTTATTCCCAAGTTTTACCAAAGAAGGTGACTGAAGGCTGGAAATTTCAAGAGCCTGGTAATTTTTACCTGAGATGTACTTCTGTTGCTCCCTACCTTGAAGCTGACTTCCATGGGCATTGGGGATTGGCTGGAACGAATTGGCTGGAGCTGTCTTTAGGTGGCTGTTCATCTGGGCTCAAGGAATACTTGCCCAGTGCATTTGCTCTATCCTGGAAGAATTCAAGAGTGTTGCTTCTGATCCTCATTGAGTGCTGAGGATAGTGCAGTGCTATCCTTGTGTTCTCCTGCATGGGGGTTGGAACTGGCTCAGTCTCTAACCCAGAACTGATGGAAAGGGTCAAGAGGGGTTATGAAGCCTTCAGTCAGTATGGTAAGGACATGGGAATGCTTGGTGGGGCTGATCCACCTGAAGGATCTCTGAAAATGAGGCATTTTTAGTCTGGATACACTTACTTTGGGATTAATTTGCTCTGTTCCTGTGATGTTAACCAGCCAAGGGTCTGAGTCATGTTTTGAATGTTTTATTGAATGAAGTAGGAGGTCTCCCCAGTAAACTTGCTACAGACTTTAAATCCAAGAGTTGTATGTTAAATATTTTTCTTCTCTCTTCCAGTTTACTTGCATTTTCAGATCAAGATTCTCTGCAAAGAAATGGTAAGGTTTATTTTTTTTTCAATAGGCTGAATGCCTGGCTCTGTTACTGTGGCTGTGTAAGTTCTTAATTCACAGGTGTTGCTTCAGTTGTTCATAGTGAATCTTCTGTCAAACCTGCTGTTAAACCATATCCATCTTTTGAAAAATGCTTTAAAAGATTTACCTGGTTAAAATAATAATTTAGTGACAGTGAGAATGTGGAAGAACTATTTATTTATTTATTTAGTATTTGTAACCAAATGAAAGCAGAGTTCAGTGATTAAATGAGGAGCTGTAAGACTGTCCATAAAATGATCTGCCTTCTGTGAAACTGCACTCTTCTGGCAAGCTGTCAGGCCACTAAGTCATTTGTCACAGCTTCCCATCTCTGGACAGTGCAAGGAAAGAAATTCCCACCCATACTTACAAGCTTTTGCTGTGCAATTCAACACACACTCTTTGACAGTAGAGTTTGCTGTATGCAGAAATAAGAAGCTTTCATTAAGTGTGTATGGGATGATTAAATACATATACAGGCTGAATCCTGTCATTTTTGGGCACTAGAGTTCTTCCCAGTAAGGGTGGGAAGATGTTCAATGAAAAGAAGAGCAGCTTTAGACTGGAAAATGGATGTGTTGAAGGCACTGTTTGTACCAAGCCAAAAATTTTCCAAAACAAGATCAAGTATTCTGAAATATACAATACATACAGGAATAATTTTTGTTTGCATAAGAGCGTGCAATATTATGCCTTTCTAATTGATTGGATGTTTTCCTTAAGGCCAATAACACTTTCTTCTGTAGGTCGTCGTTACGATGGTGGAGTGAAGCCAAAATTTAATGTAAATCAACTAGCAATTTCACAGGTAATGTTTGAAGGAACTGGCTCTGTGAAATTTTTTCATAGCTCATTGAGATCTTTTAGTTTGCATTGTTGAGTGAAATAACATACTATTCACAAGACATAGCCAGTGAAGCTGTGCAAATCATTGTGATGTGGTACTGATTCACCATCTGCTGTGTGAGATGCCTTCTGCTTTTCTAGGAGATGAGGTGAGCCCTCAGTTGCCATCACTGGTGTCGACTGGCAGTGAGTCTGAGAACAGAATCTTACTCAAATCCAGATTCTGCACAATGCCATTTGACTGCTGTGGCCAATATTTTCTTCATATCACTTGGTACTAACAGAATAGGTGAGGAAAAACTGCTGATTGTTTAAATTCAGTGGGAATTTTTCCTGAGTCCAGCCTACAGGTCTTGTCAAAAACTGAGTATAAAAGGCTTCCTTATCAAAAACCCTGAGAATGATGCAATCTAATGTAACTAATCTGTTAATGAAATCTCTCTCCTCTGTATTTCTGAGAAGAGAGCCTTAACATTTAGACAAAAGTTGTAGTTAGCATTTCCTGCTGGCTGTTGCATCACATTTTCTGACCATGATCTTACCTTTCTTTCAGCTTGTTGCTGTTAGTACTTACTCATTTTAATCCTAAAGCAGTCTTGTGCCATATGTGAGGTCAAGTATCAAAAGGGTCCTTTAGGGTCTGAGCTGGGAGACGTGATTCACTAATCTGAACAGAAAACCAACACCCTGTCCTTAAGCCAAGACAAAGCTTTGGGGCTTAAACACGTCCCCTTATGGAGCCTTGTAAGATGCTGTTTAGAACTCAGAATACCTCTGTACTTTGTACATGATTTGAACTTGCTTTATCATATGGCATGCAAAACGGCCATGCAGACATTGTATATATTATCATATTCAGATAAGACACATGTGTGCATGTAAAAGAGTTGGTGTCTGGAAATTTCAGTTTGAAATACAGAAATTACAGTTAAATTTTTAAGTCCTTTCTGAGCCCTAGCTTACTGTCTCAAATTATATTTCCTGATGGCCAAATCATCCTCCTATTGTCATTAAATTTAGCATAGAAGAGATACCATTTTTCTGACGTCCACAGATGACAGTGAAGCTGCAGTCTCCAGGTTTTAATCTTGTGAACAACTGAATTTGTAGAGGCAAGGTTCCATGCTTGACCCATCCTGTTCTGCAGCAGGCATTTTTCTGGTTTTAAAGCCATGAGGACCCAAACTGTAGATAGATGTAGAATAAGATATTTCTTTCACCTCAACAGCTGCTTGGTGTGCTTTCAACATGGAAGGCTGTGTTCTTGGCCCAGGCTGAGTCCTGGTCAGTGTGTTGAAGTAATTCATAAGACTTGAGTCTTATGCTGGGGTGAGCACCTTGTAGATCTAACTTTGCTTCAGTTTTTTGTATTGGGCAGGTGTACAGTGAGATGGAAGCATGCTAAGAATGTTGTTTGTTCCAGTGATGCTATCCTGATAGAATAAATATAACTTATATTGGCTCTCTGGCCAGTTGTGGTGCAGCTAGAGGTCTATATGGTGCCATTCCCATGGTGGAAAGGGGCAAGCGAGAGATTTTTCTGCTTCCTTAGTTCAGTAATTCTCTGGCTGAGGACTGGCTACACACATGCTGTCCAACTGCTGGCCTCATTTATTCTGGTAGGATGTAGAGTAACTCCTACATGTCTTCTGATACTGATATTTTATGTGGTCAATCAGGTTGTCAGCTACAACTTCAGTGGGGAAGGAGAGTGGGAAAGAGCATCCTGGAGGCCATTCATTCACAGCCACTACAGCCCTCTCAATGTCACGGTTAACGGCATCCCCTGCATTCTCTTCTGGGCCAAGAGGATCATGATTAAGTTTGAAAACCACACGCAGCTGGATTTGACAGAGAAGACGTTTGGTGTCCATGCAACAGTGGATGTTGGAGATTCAAACTGCAGTGAAGACAATGCAATGTAAGGTGGCGTTCTACTCTGCCAATGGAACTAGTACCAGATAACAAGTCTCATAAATACATGCTCAAGGGAACAGACCTTGTTTGATGTTGTGTAGAGCCCCAGGGGTAAGCTCCTTCCTATAATGTCACGCCCTTGAAAAACATTGGAGTTTTTTTTTTCCCCTCTTTCCTTCCTTTATTGAACTCTGTCTTGACACGAGTTCCCTAGCTGCTGGCTGGGGTCAGCCCACCACAACGCTGTATATTATGCTTGATGCATTTTATTGGAAGATATTTGGGGATTTACAGAACACATTATTCTTTAAAAAAACTGCAGAAATAATCAGGAAGCAGAACTGCTTTACAGCATACCCTTGACATGCCTTTTTATCTGTATTTCATCACATCTGAGGTTTGATCTCAAAATCTGTGGGTGCAATGCCATCTTCTCTGCTGTGTCTTCCAATCTTTCCCTTTGTTGCACCCATAGTTTTCTGAGTAGCTCCTGGGACACATCTCTTAAGGACAGGCAGGACCTTGATGCTTAGCTTGAGACTGAGGCTGGCATTTTTTTTTCTGGGGTCAAGAGATACACTGGGACTACTGAGCCTTTTCTCCTCTGTTGTGTGGAGAGAGAGGGGGAAATGCTACTCCTCAATGGTTGTGCTTTCTTGCATGTTCTGTTCTTTGCTTACTTGGGATATGGTAAGAAATACTAGTCCTGCTGACTCCTTCCCTTTGAGAGTGTTCCAGAATCCTAGCCAAGAAAGGTCTGGCTTATTCTGAGCTCTCACTAGGAGGGATTTGTCAGGATATTTGATCTGTGGCATCTCTGCTAGACTCCATGTATCAAGTCATTAGAAACTGTATGTTTCAAGTGTTCATTCAATCATTGCTACTGTCAGCATCTAAATACTGATTGGGGTAGATCAGTATGGTATGTAGAAATCATGTCTACAGATAGGAAAATGGATAATCTGGGCTCATGAATCAGGATTGGACTCAGCATAACTGTCAAATACAAGTGATGGGTCAGATTTTCAGTCAACTTACATTTGACTGGGGCAGATTAGAAAGGGAAAACAGGCCTGAATGTTGCTCTCTCATCTCAGGTTTAAGGACTGACCTAAATTAGGCCAACTGATGGCTGAGTGCTCACATAATGCATTGCCCAGTTTTTCTCACCCCAGAAAAATCCCCTAAACTTTTCCCTTCTCCTGCCTTCTTTGCTAAGACAAAGCCACTCTGTTGTGGCCTTAGATCAGCTTTCAGGCTGCTTTATACTGTCTGATCAATGCAGAGTAGCTGGAACCAGGAGAAGTATTTGACACTAAACACACGTGCATTTGCTAGACAGGTATAATAATTCAACCTGTGATTTTTTTTCTTTATTCGTGAACTTCTGGATCAGGTCACTCAGTTTAATTCTGTATTTGCCTGTGTCTACCCCTCAGCTATCTGTGATTTTTCTTTGTAACAAAGTGAGGGGTTGTCTAGGTTCAGTGTCCTGGTTTGTTGGACCAGTGCTAGTCAAGGTACAGGAAGAAGTCTAGATGTCCTATGAAATCAAAGGGCTAGATGTTTTTATTTTCTTCAGCTTTATGTTTGGAAGTCTTTCAGATGCTGCATGGGTTCACTATGTTTTGTCTTAAGTTAGTCTGAAAATGTTACATCAACTGTGAGAATCTATTATGCAGGTTTTAAGAGGCAAAACATTATTGTTAAGCAAAAGGAAGCATACCACTTAATCATCCAGAGCTACAATGCATTAATTCCAGAGATGGTGGAAGGATGGCAGATTATGCGTTAGTTTCTGATTAACCTGCTAGAGCCTCTAACTATGAACTTCATGTTCCTATGCTCACCACAGATGTAAATTCCTAGAGCGATCTCAGAGTCTGTGTATTTATATTGCTGTAGTGATGCACATGTGTGAAATTTAAGCTCAAACATCACCTGTATTTGTTAATCTCTAGCATCTACAAAACTGAGAATAATGTGGTTGGTTACACTTGCTAATGACATACAGAGGTGACTAGGATCCTATGACTTAAGGAGGGCATGGATCAGATGAACCCAATTGTCAACTGATGTTGGGAGCAGTGGAATTGGATTGTGTTGAGAGTTGAGCACACAGCTCTGTTCTTTTGGGATGGTCTAGGCCTGCTTCAAATAGCAGCCGAACTTCTGGATGTCACTGGAGGAAGATTTAGCCCTTTCAGTTTTTTCCCCACTGCTGTCAAAGGTATACTGAGTGAAAGACTCCATGTATAACTATGCATCATCTTTTATGCTGCTTTTTTCTGTTACAATTTCTGAAGTTTTTATCTAACCTGATGGTACTTGATTTTTGACCTAGGCTTTCTCTGAAGTTTGGTGACATTGGCAATCTGAAGGGTCTTGTTATTAGGTAAGTTTATATGATAAAGAAAATAACAGATTATCACGTTAATATTCATTGTTATGCAGTCACTTGTGCAGTTTGTTTTAGGAAAATTTGAGTGAGCAGAAATAATGTGATAGAACTGTTGACAGTATGATCAAGACACCTGCATTTAATAGGTCTGTTGTTTGCCTGCCTTGTTTTATTAAGGCATTTCTTCTTCTATGTTGACTTTTCTATTAATGAGAAAAGTTCGGGTCATCTCTTTTGCATGGAATCTTCCCATATCTGACATACTTGCCAGTGTTTCTGTCTGAAAATTTTGCTGCAACAACTGGGAGTGTGGACTTCTCAGGCATCAGACTATTAGCTGGTTTATGTTTTCTTATTGACAATGGAAAATAAACAGCATTTCTTGATAAGTAACCTTATGTATCTTGGATGGAAGTACAATATCAATGTTGTATATAGATTTTTCTCTGTTGTCTATGAAAAATCCCTCACCTTTCCTCTCATTATGTGGGAGAACAGCCAACTCCTTCAGCTGCAGCAGTAATTTACAGACTCAGTAGCAGGAGTTAGAATTCACACTGATGTAAGTGGGTGAAACTCTAATAGGTGTGTGTCTTCTGAGATTGTTGAGCATGTGAATAGTTATAACTCAAACTTTTTTTTTTTACCTTTTCCCCCCCCCCCCAAAATATTTTCAGATTCTTATTAACAACCAGCTATTACCAGATGTCTGTCCAGAACTGGTTCCATGTACACAGACTGCAGCTTCTTTACAACCACTCCATACAGGCGACATTTAACGCAACAAGAATATATGCACCAGCAAGTTACTCCTACCACTGTGAACATGTGAGCAGCCTGCAGAGATATGATGCACTCCTTGTACCCAGCTCTGCAAATGATCTTTCGAAGCTTTGGGAAGTCACTTTTACTGATTTCCAGGTAATGTCATGGAATTAAAGCAAATGGATCCCATAGGCAGACTGATGGGCAATGTCACACTTCACTGCCAGGAAAGTATAATGACCTGTCATGTACAGTTTACAGGATCTCCTTGGAACTTGAAACAGAAATTGAATAGAAATGAAGGCTTAAATTATTCTAATTATCTTCCTGTGAAAGGGAATGAGATAGATTTCCTGTAGTGTTTTCTCTGGGTTTACTTCTAGCATGGGAGGAATGCTCTCAGTATTAAATGTCTGACCTGGACTCTCAAACTTGGCATCAACAACAGCATCAGTCACCAAGTATAAGATTCATCTCCCTTAACTTTTGATGTCTAATAGTTTCAGCCTTCTGCCCTGATTATAGTCACCCCAGTCTGCCTCTAAAGCCAGTGGATAATTCCTCTGACTCATCTTAAATCCTTATTTTAGGATGAGATTATAGCTGTCTAAAACTACCTGAAAGGAGGTTGTAATGAGGTGGGTCTTGGTCTCTTCTTCCAAGTAACAAGTGATAGGATGAGAAGAAAGAGCCTTAAGTTGTCCCAAGGGAAGTTTAGATTGGATGTTAGGAAAAATTTCTTCACCAAAAGGATTATCAATCATTGGCACAGGCTGCCCAGGGCAGTGGTGGAGTCACCATCCTTGGAGGGATTAACAAACCATGTAGGTGCTTAGGGACAAAGTTTAGTGGTGGGATTGGCAGTGCTGTGTTAACAGTTGAACTTGATTTTAAAGGTCTTCTTCAGCCAAAATGATTCTATGATCTTATGAAAGTGCCTATTTTCCTGCATTTGACAGTAAGGAAGCCTAAAAAGACTGGACTAGAATGTCTTGCTTTCTGATACCTAAGTCACAGGTGATGAAGAGCTGAAAAAGAGTATTGGGGGGAGTGTTGATCCCCCTTTTCTCACCATGTGATAAATGCCCATGGACCAATTTAAAGCAGACACTCAATTCCCTGAATGCCAGTGTGGTAAACCATGTTAGAACTGAAACCACAAGTAATACTTAATAGTATTGGCCATAATTGAATGCAACTTCATGTAGTTTCACTGATTTGTTGCCATACAGTGCACTCTTGGATCTGATGAGAAAAAAAAGTGATACTAGGATAGGCAATTGGGAATATTTATGTGTTTTTCATGTTGTAGTTTATACAGTTTTAAACCCAGACTCGGGAGATTCTCAACAAATGATGTTGGAAATGCACCATTAATTTGGCAGGTGCCACATTCACAGTTAAATATTACTGGACTATCAAGAGTGATCACAGAAGATTTTGTTTAAAACACAACTGCAGATCCTTTGGGCAGCAGAGTGAAAAGGATTAGAATAACCGGTGGTTTCTAGAAGTCTGACATGGATAAACTGAGCCTTAACTCCAGCTGGCACTGATAGATATAATTTTGCAATAAGCAGACACTTAATTAAACATTCTTACTGGCATCAGGAGCAAATTGGTGAAGTTGTTTGCAACCAAGTTAGCAAATACTTTATTTATTATGAACCTTTTTGTTCTTTTTTGTAGATTCAAGGTTTTAACATTCAAGAAGGACATTTTGCCTATGCAAAAGACTGTGCATCCTTTTTCTCTCCAGCAATACTTATGGGATTGGTTACATCTCTGATTCTGCTGCTGGTTCTTGCCTATGCTCTTCATATGCTGATCTACCTGAAGTCTCTTGACAGGCACTATGAATGCAAAGCTTATCCTGCCTATTTTTCACAGATGAAATACAATGACATGGAGGATGAGAAAGAGCCACTAAGAAGCAGTGGGAATGAGTCCTATGAACTTAGAAATCAACAGTTCTGTAAAATTTATATTTAGGAGTATGCATCTGTCTCAGTGAAACAAGTGGTATTTTCTTCTGTTGGTACTGTTGTAGGTAGTTTGTGCTGATTTTTCACCAGCTTTTGAAAGAAAAGTAGGTAACAGACTGTTTATCCAGTTACTCTTTGTAATTTGTTGTTAACCATCTCAAAGATGCCTTGGGAAACACGATGAGGGGAAAAAATTTCACCTGTAGGTAAGAAATTTCATGTGTTGGGAGTTCCTTCCTGTAGTAAAAAGGCAAAATACATATATTTTCATCCAGTTTACCAAGTGCTGAAGAGAGTCATGGAACATTTAAAATTAAATAAAGATACAAAAAATCATGCATCAATAAATAAATATCTCTTTGCTTGTTCTTCCAGAAGGCAGGGTTTTTCCTTGTTTTGTATTTGCTTCATCTACCCTGCTAGGTGTCCTGATAAAACAGCATCCATTCCTTTCTCACTACCTGTTTTTCTTTTGTTTTCCAAATTGCATGTTTTCCTCTTTGTCCTCGTTAAGTCCTTTTCCTTCTTCAGAGTCTGCAGAACCGTATAAACTATGTATTACTCGCTACATTGATGAAATAGTGATGGCTCTGGTGCAGCAGCATCTTGATTCTTTTCTGTGTCTAAGCTAGAGGCTTAATGTAAGTGGGAGAAGAGCAGACATCTGGCCCAAGGCTTACCCTTAACTTCCCGGCTCAACTCCACGCCAGAAGACGGATTATGAGCATTATACCCTGTAATTCTAGGTTAATTTCTTTTCTATTAAATCCCATCAGTCTTCCTTGGGAATTTTACCTGATCAGAGAGAGCCAATGCTATAATTGAAAACATTATAAACAGAGTGGTTGAAACTCCCCAGCAGTGATGAGGATACTGTGATTTAATTTTCACTCCTCCTTCTGAGCACTGAAGATATTATCTTCCCACTCGTCCTTTCTTCTGTTTGAGTCAAAGTTTGGGAACTCCAAATTAACCTGTAATTTGGCCCTACCTTCTAGCAAAGAAGAATGTAGGATTGTAGTAACTGTAGTGCTTCTAGGTCACAAGGAACAAAAAACTCAGCATGTTAGATAATCCTCTGCAACACCAGATTTAGGAAACAGACACCTGTTGAATTTTAGATCATAGGTCAGATCAGTTGTTTGTAAATTATACTGCAGTCTAAATATTTTGAGAGGTGTCCAAAGGTCTCCTGTTTATTAGCACACTGACTAGATGTGGAGTCCAGATTAGGCACTTGATTTAGGGAGGTACAAAAGTAAAAAAAAAGATAAGAATAATTGAACTGTAACCAGGTGTAAGAGACAAGTTTCTGAGGACACGGAAAGACTATCTGTGTCCAGTTACTCCAAACTTTATGTGTTTTATAAAGAAAGCAAGCAAAAACACTAGTGACTGGGAACCTGCATGAGGGTAAGATGAGAAGGTGCAAATAAAACCCACAGTATCCTATGTAGAGTGGAGAAACACTTGCAGTCTTGGTCCTCTCTGCTTGCACACAGCAATGACAAGGAGTGAGAGGACAAGGGCTAATGGATTAAAACTGGAAGAAGGGAGATTTGGATTAGATACTAGGAGAAAATTCTTCACTGTGAGGGTGATGAGACACTGGCCCAGGTTGCCCAGGGAAGTTGTGGAAGCCTCATCCCTGGGTGTGTTCAAGGCCAGGCTGGATGTGGGAGGTGTCCCTGCCCATGCAGGGGGAGGTGAAACTACATGATCTCTAAAATCCTTTCCAACCTAAGCCATTCTATGGTTCTGTGACATGTAGGCAGATGACAATGTTGGAAAGAGCTCAGGATGCCAGTGCTAAACAGGTGCTGAAAAGGGGCTGGAGAGCAGTCCTCTTGTGCCTGCGGTTCACTAGCTGCCAGACAATAAAACCCTGGCACTATCTAGTGGTAGGCTGACTGTCAAAATCACCATCATTCACTGATGTAAAATGCCCACCCTGCAGAGCTGTGCATGGTGGCTTTGGGCATGGTAGTGCTCTCTGGACCTCATGTTCTCTGAGGCACAAGTGGACTAGTGCATTCCCCATAGCTCATTTAACCTCCTGGTTAGCATTTGAGTATGCTGTCAGTACAATTCTTACCTATTGCTCTCTTGTAATTTTTCATCAGGCAATAATAGCACTGCTGATGCAAGGGGTTCTTCTGAGACTGATAAATTGGGATTAAGGGAGCTTCCCTCTAATCATCACCCTTGCTCCTCATGTCCTTCTAAATCTCCTTCCTTAGCTATTTTCCAACCCATATATGTTCTCCTCACCTTGGTTTTGAGAGTGAGGTGATACCTGCTGGCTTTGTGCTCTAGGGGCTCAGCACTGCAAATCTTCAAGCATGAGTCAGTGTGGAATCAAAAGGAGTGTGCGTGGCTCTTTCAGTGGGGATTGTGGAATTATGGAATGGTTTGGGATAGAAGAGACCTTAAAGATAATCTATTTCCAACCCTTCTGCATGGGCAGGGACACTTCTGACTGGACCAGGTTGCTCAGAGCCCCATCAGGCCTGGCCTTGAACAATTCCAGGGATGAGGCAGCCACAGTTTCCCTGGACAACCCGGGCCAGGGTCTCAATACTGTCAGAGGAAAAGGTTTCTTCCTGAAGTCAAATGCACTTGAACATGAGAGATTAATTTATACCTGCTATTTATAAGGCAAGCATCACAAAAAAAGAAAAAGAAAAAAAAAATCCCCTTTTATAATAATAATTATATAATAATAACAACAATAATTCAGCTTTTTCTAAACTGTAACACAACTGTTATTATATCCAGGGCCTCTTGAGTGGAGTGGTACAGCAAGTTGTCTTTTCATGGCTGGGACTTCCCATGTTGCAGTTCTGCCTGGCAGTGGCAGGTGGTTCTGCTTCACCAGGTATGCTCAGTGTCATCACGTTTCTGCTCAGGTGTCAGCAAGAGTTAGAAAGGATAAATACACTAATTGAAATACAACATTCAGTCATAGGGCTGGAATGATGAGCCATATATTTATAAAGAGGTAATGATGTTTTAGTGGAAAAACAGCAGCAGAAGGAAAAATCATCTGTACAGCTTCTGTCTCCTTATGCCATGCATAGAAACAAGCACACACACTTAAAAAAAAGACAGTGTGGATTTTTACATTCCCAATAGGCTGTGTTTTCTGTGACAAAAAAAAATCCTTATCAAATGCACGTTTTGGAGCGTCAGAGGCATTCTGTTGTTCTGGTTCTGAAACAAGAAAATGCAGGTTAAAATGAGTTGCTTGCTACAAAAATAATCTTTTTTATGTGTTTCACGTTCTGCATAACTTCATTGCTGGATCAGAACACAGTAGCCTTTGCAACATAAATACATGAATTCAAACAAAAGCTTTATATCATCTTTTCAAAACTGATTTTATGCTTTAAATTCAGGGCCCCATCCATTGTCACTTAAAGTTAAAGGGAAGAGTCTCATTTCCTTTAACTGAAACAGGACTGATTTCACAGACTATGCAGCTCTCCCTGTGCAAAGGTAACACTGAATTGAACAAATAAATACATTTGTTCGTCATACATTTCAGCTGCTGTAGGTAAAATTTTGTGTAATTGCCCCTCTCCCCAGTATTAGGCAACTTCAGACATGCAGAAAACCAGGATTTCAGGCACTGCATCAAGTATTGTTGTTGAACTGAAGTTGTGGAGTATTGGCATCTTATTAGTTACAAATGTACCAGGAGTAATCGAAGCCAAGGTCTCTGTGAAGACAGGGAGAAAAACCACAAGTCCACTAGCTGGTGAGTAATACTGAATTCCACCAAAGCGGAAGAAATAAATATATTTCTTTTCAGGTTTTTAAAATGGTAGCATTTCGCTCACCTCCTTTAAACACTGATTCTTGCTGTAACAGCACTGGTATTTCTGGCTGATTTTTTTTTCCTTTTAGTTGGAGACTTCCAAAAGCTGGATTCAACCTCCAGATTCAGAAACTGTCCCCAGAGGTCCAGAGAGAAGACATGTTAGGGAAAATGATAGTCTAGTACACAGCAAAAAATTGCCACTTCAATCCTGAAAAGCTGTATTCAAACATGAGTGACAAAGAACCATATACCCTGTGCTGCTACTACTACTTATTTATATGCATGAAGCTAGAGTCAGTGAAAGGAAATTCCCAAGCCAGAGCTGCTACATCTGACAGGCTGGCAAAACTATGACAACCACCTCTATAAGGACTGTCTACCTGGCAGAATCTTTACCTAGAGTCATCCTAGGAAGACCTTCCAGTAGCCAACACCAGGGCTCTGGGCTAGCATTCAGCATGACTGGTTGTCTGTGTTTTGTCTCCTCTTAGTGACTGAGGGAGTGACAAATCTGTCTCAAGTTCTCTCTGTGACTTCCCTAGTCCAGCTAACCCTCTGATGTTTGTGTTTTTCTGCATGAGCCTGTTCTTCACCATTGTTCTAATACCTCTTAATATTTTCTCCACTTCCAGTAAACTCTGTAACATGGCATTTAACTGGTATCTGATAAATCTGATTCAGTGGTCTCTATTTCACATCTTAATTTGCTTACTTTACAGGCCATGTTTGATGCTACAGAACGACCAATACTTCAGAGCTATGTAAACCTTATTTAAAGAGCCAGTTGTTTAATTTGAATCATATTAATTGTAAGTATCTTTTTATTAAAATTGAAAGTAATTCCAGCTGAAGGAGCAAATCAAGAACTGTGACTTGCATGTAACCACACTAGTTGGAAAGCCATGCTGTGTGGTTTTCTAAGCCATGTTTGCTTGCTGTAACAGAGTCAAGAGAACTGAACACACACTGAACAGCCAATTTGGGATTCATCATCATTTGGGCAGGTGCACCACGTGAGAGGACTCTCTTCCTGCCCTGGACCAGTGCTGCTCTCTGCCTGCCTGTCTGTGAAGGTAAAGCCTCATCCTGGAATAGTTCTAAAATAAAAATGAAGCATTTTATTAAGGAAGAGTTTACATGTCCTAAAGAGATGCCTGCCTAAGGGATCTTGAACTTTACAGTAACAGTATATGCTGCAAATAATTCCAAGAAATGTGATTTTCTGTGTATATAGCATTTCCACCCTCAGTATTCATGTGGTTGCAGCTGCTTCAGAAGAGGAAGGCAGAAGTAGAGAGACAGAAGAG